CATTTTAATTCATTTGTTTAACAGTTCTATCTGATTATTAGATAGACTTATATCCATATTAGACAGAACTGAACGACGACAGCAAACAAGAGGGAGAATGTGAGCTGTGTGTGCTCAGGCGCTGCGGCTGCTGTTCTCAGTGCCTTCAAAATAAAAGTCCCGCCTCGAACACATCGGCCAAACAGAAAAACTTATCGGCCGGTGCCGATATTTGAAAAATGCCAAATATCGGCCGATATATCGGTCGACCACTAGTAAAAACAGTAATTATGTCCCCACTGAATGCAACAAATGCCTCGTTTGTAATGGGTTTTATTGGTTTTGTCTCGTCGTGCCGGGAGACACAGCATCACAGTATGTTAAGGGTCGTAACATTTCCGTCACACGCTTGAGGTATTCAGCCAATCACAGCGCACTGGATAGCTGGCCAATCAGCGTACACCTCGCTTTTTGACCAATGAGCTTTGTAAAAATCAACGCGTTTCAGAAAGGCGGGGCATGGAGGAGCAACAATAGTGTACATTATGTGGAAAATAATGTGTTTTTTTAACCTTAAACCGCATAAACGCATTGCATTACACCAAATACACAACATAATGTTCTTTTTAGCAATGTCATATGACCCCTTTAATAAATCATTAGCTCATGAACATGATTTCTGCCATAGTCTCGTCAGATTGCATCGGCTGTGGGGATGAATACGACAACTCCCATGATTCCACACTCAGTCACGGCGTCATCAAACTACGCCTTTGATTCTTTTGTTCTGTTTATTTTGAATACGTGCCCTCTAGCAGCGAAAAATTATATATTGTGCATTTAAATTGTTTGCAGACAGCTGTTAAAAATGTGCATATCGGCTCAAGAAGTCTCAAAAAGCCTTATATAACAAAATGTGCACAGTGATGTTCCTTCCACTGTCTTTCAGTGACACTAATGCCAGAGCAACAGGTGACATGGCAACAGATGTCATAGCAACAGGAACCATCACTGGTACTCAGCCGTCCAAGGAGCAGAAGTGAGTGTTTTTCCATAGGAAATTACTGGACATGTAGTTAAAGTCTCTAAATGCAGCCCTGTCTTGTTCTACAGGGGCGACTCCAGTAGTAACGGCCCAGTGTAACAGCGTTTCACTCGCCGCTCGCCTCCATCCCCATGACAGTTGTTACTCCACCCATTAAATGTTAAAAGCTGTGGCTTCCCTGTTTTCAAACATTTGCTGCATTCGCTGTTTCCATCCATCTGCTGTGTAGTTATGTGGGTTTTTTTGGTTTGAGCATGAGCGGAACTCTAGATGATCTCTGTCTTTCCTAATGAAGACATCTTCACTGTTGGGAACACTGACCTTTGAACCCTGTGAGATCGGCCCCACTACAGTCTGTGTATGTGTGTTTGTTGAGCGTTGTGGAACTACAATATAATGCACATCCACAGGCGAATCCTCATGTATGCATAAATATGCTTGGTACATCGACAAGCGTGATTTTATAGTGTTGTTTTTATGTTTCTGAACCAGTATTTTCCACTTGGAACAAGGCAAGAGATCAAGTCTGTGTGTGAGAGAGTGTGTGTGTGTGTGTGTTCTGTCTTGATCGATATCTCTGTTTGCTGTAGCCCTTGGGCCCGGTACTGATTTGATTTCAGTACTGATTTGTTTGCACTTATGTTTCCAGCTCCGCCCACCATCCACACAAACACACATATATGAGCAAAAATAATTGGGAGCAGGTCACAATATTTTTGTTTTGTTGAAGGCTGTTTTTATATAAAAGTATGGAAGCTTGTTTCCACCCCAGGATAAAAAAAAATAAAGGTAATTGCAAATTTCAATCTCACTATTCTGACTTTTTTTTCCTCAGAATTGCAAAAAAAAAAAAAAAAAAGTCAGAATTATAAAATAAAATGTTAAAATAAAAATTGCAAGATATAAACTCAGAATTGTAAGATTTAAAAAAATGACAAGTTTATAATTGCGGAATGTAAATTTGCAGTTCTGAGGAAAAAAAGTCAGATTTGTGTGAAAACAATTACCTTAATTTTTTTTTATTCTATGGCTGAAACAAGCTTCCATATAAAAGTATGGAAGCCCGTTTCCGCCACTGAATAAAAAATAAAAGAGGTAATTGCGACTTTTTATCTCACAATTCTGACTTTTTTTCTCAGAATTGCGCTCGCTATTCTGAGAAATAAAGTCAGAATTGCGTGATATAAACTCGCAATTGCGAGACATTAAGTCACAATTTTGAGAAATAAAGTGAGAACTGCGAGATATAAACTCACAATTGACTTTTTTTCTCAGAATTGCGAGTTTATAAATTGCATTTGCGTGTTATAAAGTCAGAATTCTGCAATTCCGAGAAAAAAAGTCAGAATTGTGAGAAAAAAAGTCCGAATTGCGAGTTTTTATCTCGCAATTGTGTTTATATCACGCAATTCTGAGAAAAAAAAGTCAGAATTGTGAGTTTATATCACGCAATTGTGACTTTATATCTCGCAATTCTGACTTCATCACTCGCAATTGTGTTTATATCACGCAATTCTGAGAAAAATTCAGAATTGTGAGTTTATATCACGCAATTGTGATTTTATATCTCGCAATTCTGACTTTACTGACTTTATTTGCGAGTTTATATCTCACAATTCTGTGAAAAAAAAAAGTCAGAATTGTGAGATAAAAAGGATAAAAAGT